ATATCAAAATTTTAAAAATGGAGAAGACTAAACTATAGTAGTAGGTAGGGATGTGCACTAGAGACACAAGAAAGTGATTACTATAAAACTTAGGAGAGCAGTTACTTGCAGGGGAAGAAGGGTGTTAGGACTGGGATGAAAAATGTGAAGTGACTTCTAGGGTGGCTGGCAACATTTCTCTGACTCGGGTGGTGGTGACTTGGGTAGTGGTTACATGGGTGTCTGTTTTGTAAAAATGCATTAAGCCACCCTCTGTTTAGTATAGTATCTGTATTTTATTTTACAATAAAAAGATTTTTTAAAATGTGATAATACAACATAGCCTATATTTCTATCCTACCTTCTCCCCTACCTCTTTTCCGAATATCAGCTGTTTTTCACAGCTGCCCTTTTAAAAAGACTGCTATGTGCTCTTCAGCTTATGATAAAGGATGTGCTTCTGCAGCATCTGGGTATATCCAGAGCAGCATATTTGTAAGGGACTCCAGACCTGTGAGAATCACCAGGTTTATGGAAATTCTCTAGCATATATTACATAAAATGTTCTCTATTAATTGTAGCAGGTTCACCAAAACTGAGATATTGGGATTCTGGGCAGCCAAAACAGTCACTCAAAGGTGAAATGATGTGCTACTTTATACTTGCCTCCCAGGGTCTGTGATTTAAATACTAAAATTTAAGTATTATATGTCATGTCTGGTCCTTCACAATTAATTGTGAATAAAGTCAATTACAAACTCAATTATATATATTAAGTCTATATAAAACACTTCATTATTAAATACTGCAGTTCTTTGACTACTAAGCAACTGAGTAAAAATATGAATATATAAATGAACCACAAGAGAGGGTAATTTGCCAGCTGAGGTATTCGGAAAGCCCCACTTTTGTTTGACACATGTGAATTAAGTACAACTCTTTCTTGACAAAACAATATTGTTTATTATACTTTAATGTATGACTCAGAACAGAAAGTTGCTACTACTATCTCTTAAATCCCTTCTGTATGCAATAAAAAAACACCCTCCAAATCTACCTTAACAGATAAATATATGTTAAAACTAGCATAGTAAAATGTTAACAGTTGAACCTAGGTAGTGGCTATACAGGTACTCAGTGTAAAATTCTTTTAACTTTGCTGTGTCCTGAATATTTTTCATAATAAAAGTTCACCTTACCTCATAGTGCAGCATGAAATTTTTATCTTTTATCCCACTACAAAAAAAAACCATAATATTCAAAACCTCACATAGATACAAATTTATTTCAATAAACAGAAAAGATTTAAGAGGACTTAAAAAAATAATTGGGTATCAAAGAGTTGATCTGAAACTGAAAATAAAGAGAATTAGGAGGATGTCAGAGATAGTATTTTTTTCTGGTATAGAGTGTGTACCTAAATTCTATACAGATTTAGGAAAACAATTTTGCTTTAAATACAACAAGCACTTAAATATCCAGATTTGAATATTAAGGCCATACACACACACACACACACACACACACACCCCATATATATAAAACCATATATATGTTTTTAAGCATTAATAACAATTGGGAAAATCCTAAATGTTATCAAGTTAAATCTCATTTTCTCTCAGTCAACATGTGAAGTGAAGATTAGTAACTGAAATAATATCACTCAGAGAAATCGGGATATCTGACAGGTAAAGATCTTTTCAGGGTTTGAAGCTGTGTTGCCTCCTAAAAGAGAAAGGAGTCAAAGTGAAGAAGGACACAGCAACCAAGTTTTGGCCCAGATGATAATTTGTAATACTAAGTATAAAAGCTCCCAGAAAAAGGATTATGATTATGATGAACATTCTGGCCTTCTACAAACAGCTTCACTGTCAATTTTATCAGATACATGAAAAACAATTAGTGATGCTATCATGAAGACTCTGAGGATTATCCTCATCTGTTGGGAGGCAGGAAGAGGGAGGATGTCCTGTAGTTTTCTGAGACCCTAACCAGGGAAAGGAAGCAACCCTGTTAGGCACCAAGGAAAGAAAGAGCTATGTGGTCGTGAGTCCTAGGACTCTGATGCAGTAATACTGGTGGGATTGTAATAAAGATTCTCATTGTATAAAACTGATCAACAGGGTTTTACTGCTGACTTTCTAGGAAGAGAAGAGAGCAAATACTTCTGAGTACAAATTCAAATGTGCTGTGAGATAAGACAAGGTTTTTCATTCAGTAACAGCCTCTGGATTCATTTCAGCAATTGGATTCCTACTTATTTATTTGCTCTCTTCTTTATAATTGAAAAACCTATCCATTCAAGATTACCCAGGAAATCTGTCCTGAGGAATGGTTCTAGAGACAGGGAATAAACGAAATGTATCCATTCTAGAGAATTAAATTCTTTACTAATATTTGTTCCAACCAATGAGTTAAAAGACAACATTAGCCCTGGCTGGCGTAGCTCAGTGGATTGAGCTCGGGATGTGAACCAAAGTGTCACAGGTTCGATTCCCAGTCAGGGTGCATGCCTGGGTTGCAGGCCACGGAGCCCAGCAACCGTACATTGATGTTTCTCTCTCTCTCTCTCTTTCTCCCTTCCTTCCCTCTCTAAAAAAATAAATAAATAAAATATTTTAAAAAAGACAACACTAAAAAAAAAATCCCTTGAAATTACTATTATGTAATCTGAAAAAAGGAGGACTGAGGTACGTTATGGGTTTTTAAAAGTAATAATGATTAATGATATACCACACGAGCTTCAATTATACACTGGAACATCATAACCAAAAAACATAACTTACTTTATAGCTGTTATAATTCGGTCCGACTTTATACTGGATTCTAGTGAATCAAATGTAACAGTACAAAGCACCTGAAGAAGAAGAAACACAATTCCTCAATCTGTAATTTATTAACAACAAAGATAAAAATGAAAAATATCAGAAGAACCCAATTAGCTCTTAAAGAAATGCAGTAAGTATAATCTATACAAATCAATAGTACTTAATACAGTAATCATCAATAATCCAAAGGTCTAACATCACATGGAATACATATGTAAAACAGTGTAATAGAAGTTCTAGGGGAAGAGAAAGAAATAGTTCTAAAACCTGACCATAAAGAAAGCCTTAGTAAAGCTTCAGCCAACAAAACTGCTCCCTTATTAAAATAAAAAAAAATTCAATCTTCTTTGAAGGGTCTTAACATAAACCAGAGACTATAATACAACATTGAACATGTTTGGGATACAACCTACCAAAAAAAAGGAAAGAAAAAAAAAGAAAAAAGAAAAATAAACTGGGACCATTTTAAAGAGAAAAAGAAAATGAATAGAAATTGACCCTGAGCTAAACCAGATGTTAGATTATAGATAAGGACTTTCCTTTTATTTTTCCATATATTTTAAAAATATTTTATTTATTTATTTTTAAAGGGAGGGGAAGGGAGGAAGAAAGGAAGGGAGAGAAACACCAATGTGTAGTTGTCTCTCTCACATCTCTACTGGGGACCTGGCTCGCAACCCAGGCATGTGCCCTGGGAATCGAACTAGCAACCGTTTGGTTTGCAGGCTGGCACTCAATCCACTGAGCCACGCCAGCCAGGGCTCCAGATAAGTGCTTTCAATACCTATTATACTCAAGGACATAAAAAAGAACCAATGGAAATTCTGGAACTGAAAATATGTATTATCTTATAATGAGAGGAGATAACAAGACTCAGTGAACATGAAGACATTAATAGAAATCGGTCAATTTAAAGAATAGAAGGGGAGAAGAGAGAACATTGTTTCAGGGACCTGTGGAACATTATTAAGAGGACTAACAGATATACTTGCAATCCCAGCAGCAGAGGAAATGAGGTAAAAGAAAATATTTAAGAAATTATGGCTGAAATTTCTCAAGTTAAACAAAGGACAAATTTACAGGTTCATGCTCAGGAAACTCTTAGCAGGATAAATACAAAGAAAACCACACTATTCCTAGTCACACCACTGAAAACCAAAGATGGAATCCTGAAAGCACCCAAAAGAAAACAATAAGTAACATACTGGGAACAATGATATGAATGAGTCCAGACTTTTCATTAGATGAAAATGGAGAAATAAAAGCAGTGGAACATTTTTATATGCCTAAAGAAAAGCATCAACCTAGAATCTATATCCAGCAAAAAGTTTCTTTGTAATTAAGGGGAAAATAGACATTTTAGGTAAATGAAAAATAAGAATTTGTTGTCAAAAGACCCAGAGGACAATACTAAAGGAAGTCTTGTCAGATTGAAGGGAAATAATACTAGCTGAAAACATGGATCTTCAGAAAGAATTAAAAGCATCAGAAATAGTAAATATGTGGGTCAATAGATAAAAAAATCTTTCCCTCTTACCTTCTTTAAAATATATATCACTGTAAGAAATAAAAGTTACAGCATTGCCTTGTGGAGTTTGTAACACGCGTAGATGTATCTCAGAAGACAACAACAGTATAAAGAATGGAAGGGAGGAAAAATGTACCTAAATAGTTGGGAACTTTACTCATTTTATGTGAAGTGGACAAAATTAACTCTAAGAAGGCTGGATAGTTACAGATGTTTATTGTATTCTCTATGGTAACCACTGAAACGTGCAGGGTATGGCTAAAATGCAGAGAGATAAATCACAATGGAATTCTAAAAAAACATTCAATTAATACAAAAAGGCAGAAAGAACAGAAAAAACAAACAAACCCAGACGGGCCAAACAAAACCTAATATTAAAATGACAGATCTAAGTTCAATCACATCAGTAATAAGTTCAACCTAATGGACTAAACACTCCAGTTAAAAGGCAGAGATTGTTAGAATGGCTAACAAAAGTACATATAGTATTATACCTTAATGGGTTATTTTAGAAACTATTAAAAGGTATAAAGAACCTGAATCACAAATGATAGACTATCTTCATGGTAAACACTGTGATTTAAATTGTAAAGATATCATTTCTCAAAAGAATTCATGAATTCAGTGAAATACCAATTTAAACACTAGAAATTTTTTTTTTTCAGAACTTGATATAATGGACTCTTGGTCAAGATGGAAGCACAGGCAAACACGACTCATGTTCTCACACAACCACATCAAAATTACAACTAAATGTTACAACAATCATCACTCAGAGATGTCAGAAATTGAGTTGAATGCAAGTCTGACAACTGCAGAACTTCAGAACAACTACAACCCAGACTGGTAGGAGATGGGGAGAGGTGGACAATGGAATGAGCTGGTCCCACACCCATACCAGGACCTCAGCCCAGGATTCCAGTTCCAGGAAGATTAAGTCCACATAACTTCTGGCTGTAAAAACCAGCAGGGTTTGAGTCAGTGAAAGGAACTAATGGAATCCCAAGCATTTCCTCTTAAGGGCCTGCACATGAGCTTACTCAGACTCACTCCCACTGAGCTCCAGTACTAAGGTAGTAGCTTCAAAGGCATCAGTGGCATATGGAAAGCCTGTGCCAATGGACCCTACAGGACACCTACTACATTAGGCCACACTACCAAGACAGGAAGGTATAGCAGCTATACCTAATGCATACAAGCCAACATAAGGAGGCCACCAAAACAAGGAGACAAGCATGGCCCAAATGAAAGAAAAAGACACAAAATTCCAGAAAGAGAACTAAACAAAATGGAGGCAAGTAAGCTACTAGATGCCAAGTTCAAAAACTGGTTATAAGGATGCTCAAGGAACTCAGTGACAACCTCAAAGGCATAGAAAGATCCAGGAAGAAATGAAGGATACGCTAATGAAAATAAAGAACAATTTACAGGGAATTAACAGTAGAGAGGATGAAGCTGAGAATCAAATCAATGATATGGAACACAGGGAAACAAAAAATAATATATCAGAACAAGAAGAGCCCTGGCTGGTGTGGATCAGTGGACTGAATGCCAGCCTGTGAACCAAAGGGTTGCTAGTTCGATTCCTAGTCTAGTGTACATGCTTGGGTTATGGACCAGGTCCCCAGACGGGGGTGTTCAAGAGGCAACCACACATTGATGTTTCTCTCCCTCCCTTCCCCTCTCTAAAAACAAATAAAATCTTTAAAAAAAAAGAGTAAGAAGAAGAAAAAAGAATTCTAAAAAACAAGGATAGTGTAAGTAGCCTCTGGGACAACTTTGAGCATACCAACATTCATATCATAGGGGTGCCAGAAGGAGAAGATAAAGTGTAAAAAATTGGAAATCTATTTGAGAAATAATGAAAGTAACCTTTCCTAATCTGATGAAGGAAATAGATGTGCAAGTCCAGGAAGCACAGAGTCCCAAACAAGATGGATGCAAACAGGCCCACACCAAGACACACTGTAATTAAAATGCCAGCAGGTAGTTAAGCAGGTAGTCACCTACAAGTGAGCTCCCATAAAACTGTCAGGTGACTTCTCAAAAGAAACTTTGCAGGCTAGAAGAAATTGGCAAGAAATATTCAAAGCCATGAAAAGCAGGAACCTACAGCCAAGACTGCTCTACCCAGCAAAGCTATTATTTAGAATTGCAGGACAGATAAATGGCTTCCCATACAAGAAAAAACTAAAGCAGTTTATCATCACTGAGTCATCATTATATGAAATATTGAAAGGACTTATTTAAGAAAATCAAAACTATGAACAATAAACACATATCTTATCAACAATTGAGTTAAAAAAGCAAACTAAGCAAACAAGAAGAATAGGGACAGAATCATAGATATGAAGTACATTTTTGATGGTTACCAGATGGAAAGGGGTTTTGGGAAATGGTGAAGAAGTAAGGGGATTAAGAAGTACAGGCCCTTGCTGGCGTAGCTCAGTGGATTGAGCTCGGGCTGTGAACTAAAGTGTCGCAGGTTCAATTCCCAGTCAGGGTACATGCCTGGGTTGCAGGCCATGACCACCAGCAACGGCACATTGATGTTTCTCTCTCTCTATCTCCCTCCCTTACCTCTCTAAAAATAAATAAATAAAATCTTAAAAATATATATATTAAAAAAGAAGAAGAAGAAGAAGAAGTACAAATAGGTAGTTACAGAATAGCCATGGGGATGTAAAATACAGTACAGGAAATGGAGTAGCAGAAGAACTTGTACACCTGACCCATGGACATGAACAAAGGTGTGGGGATTGCTTGAGGGTGTGGGAGGAGCTGTGGGCAGGCAAAGGGGTAAAATTTCAGATAACTTAACAGCATAATTGATAAAATATAATTTTAAAAAAGTTGATATAATAAAAAAATCAAAATGAAGGAAAAAATGAAAGACAATATATAAAACAATATTGGGAGGAGAAAAGAATAAAAAAGGAGGATTTGTTTTTCATATATTAAAATATACACCAAAATCATAACATTTAAAACAGTTTGACAGTGGCTCAGGAAACTCACAGAGCAATTAAGAGAATATGTTTCAAAAATGTATTAAGAAGGTGATGTTGCAAATCAATGGGAAAAATGAACTATTAATAAATGGTATTGTACAACTGGCTCCTTCTGGAGGTTTTGACCTCATACCATGTGAAGGAATCAACTCCAAGACAGACTAATGGTCTAAATTTGATAGCTAAAACTAGAACATTAATAGAAAAAAAGAAGGTGCATGTTTTTGTGACTTTGAGGGAAGGAAGGATTTTCTAAGTAAGACTTGAACACCACAAATAAGAGATACACAGGGAAGGATTAGCTACATCAAAACTGAAGATTTCAGGTTCCTTGTAGACATATGGTGGGCTACCACAGGTAAAGTTAAAAAGCACATGAAAAGGTGATGATATATACAAATTCTGGTAACTGAGAAGAATATTTAAAACACATAAGAAATGGATGAACTTCTAGAAAAATATAATCTTCCAAAACAAATCAAGAAGCAGAAGCCTGAACAAACAGATAACAGCTGGTGAAACTGAAGCAGTAATCAAAAAACTGGCACACAAAAGCCCAGGACCGGACAGTTGCACAGGAGAATTTTATAAAACATTTAAGGAAGAACTAACCCCTATCCTTCTCAGGCTATTCAAAAAAATCCAAGAAGGAAGACTCTCAAACTCTTTTTAAGAGGCCAGTATTATCCTAATCCAAAAACCAGATGAAGACACAACAAAGAAAGAAAACTAGAGGCCAATATTGCTGATAAACACAGATGCTAAAATCCTCAACAAAGTATTGGCAAACTGCATCCAGCAATACATTAAAAAGAGCATACACCATGACCAAGTGGAATTCATCCCTGGGATGCAAGGATGGTACAATATTCGCAAATCAATAAACATAATACATCACATAAACAAAAGCAAAGACAAAAAATCATATGATCATATCAATAGATGTGGAAGAAGCATTTGATAAGGTTCAGCACCCATTTATGATAAAAACACTAAGCAAAGTGGGAGTAGAGGGAGCATACCTCAACATAATAAAGGCCATATATGAAAAACCTACAGGCAACATCATACTCAACGGGCAAAAACTAAAACCTTTCTCACTAAGATCAGGGACAAGACAAGAATGTCTGCTTTTCCCACTTCTATTCAACATAATATTGGAAGTTCTAGCCACAGTGATCAGACAAGAAAAAGAAATAAACGGCATCCAAATTGGAAAGGAGGAAGTAAAACTGTCATTGTTTGCAGATGACATGATAGTGTACATAGAAAACCCTATATAGACTCCACCAAAAGACTGCTCAACCCAAAAGTGAATTTGGCAAAGCAGCAGGACACAAAGTCAATATTCAGAAATTGAAGGCATTTTTTGTACACCAACAATGAAATCTCAGAAACAGAAATCAGGAAAAAAAATCCCATTTGCTATAGCAACAAGAAAAATAAAGTATCTAGGAATAAACTTAACCAAGGAGATAAAAGACCTGTACTCAGAAAACTACACAACACTGAAGAAAGAAATTAAGGAAGACACAAATAAATGGAAGCATATACCGTCTCCATGGACTGGAAGAATTAATATCATCAAAATGTCCACACTACCCATAGCAATTTATAGATTCAACGCAATCCCTATTAAAATACCAATGGCATATTTCACAGATAAAGAACAAACATTTAAAAAATTTTATGGAACCATAGACAACCCCAAATATCCACAGCAATTTTGAGCAAGAATAACAAAGTAGGAGGGATCACCATACCTGACATCAAACTATATTACAAGACCACAATAATCAAAACAATCTGGTACTGTCTTAAGAAGAGGCATATAGGTTAATGGAGCAGAACAGAGAGCCCAGAAATAAATCCAAGTCTCTATGGTCAATTAATATTTGACAAACAGGGCAGAAGTATAAGTTGGGGTAAAAATAGCTTCTTCAACAAGTAGTGTTGAGAGACCTGGACAGCTATATGCAAAAGAATGAAACTTGTCCACTAACTTACACTGTACACAAAAATAAACTCAACATGGATAAGACTTAAATATGAGTTGTGACATCATAAAAGTCCTAGAGGAGATCACAGGCAGAAAAATCTCAGATATTCCATGTAGCAATATTTTCACCAATATGTCCCCTAGAGAAAGGGACATAAAGGAAAGAATAAACAAATGGGATCTCATCAAAATAAAAAGCTTCTGCATGGCTAAAGAAAGCATCAGCAAAATAAAAAGGGAACCAACTGTATGGGAAAATATATTTTCCAATGATACCTTGGACAAGGGTTTGATCTCCAAATTATATAAAGAACTCACAGGACTCCACTCCAGGAAGACAAACAAACCAATTAAAATATGGGCAAAGGACCTGAACAGACACTTCTCCAATGAGGACATATAGAGGGCCCAAAGACAGTTGAAAGGATGCTCAGTCCTGGCTTTTGTGGCTCAGTGGACTGGGTGCTGGTCTGCAAACCAAAGGTTGACTGGATCAATTCCCAGTCAGGGCATATGCTTGGGTTGTGGGTCAGGTCTCCAGTAGGAGGTACTCAAGAGGCAACCACACGCTGATGTTTCTCTCTCTCTTTCTCCCTCCCTTCCCTCCTCTTTAAAAATAAGTGAAATCTTTAAAAAAAATTTTTTAAAAGGATGCTCTCATCACTAACCATCAGAAAGATGCAAATTAAAACCACAGTGAGATACCACTTCACACCAGTCAGAAAGGCCATCATAAACAAATTAACAAACAAGTACTGCTGAAGTTGTGGAGAAATGGGAATCCTAGTACATTGTTGGCAGGAATGCAGACTGGTGTAGCTAGTATGGAAAACAGCATGGAATTTCCTCAGAAAACTAAAAATGGAACTGCCTTTTGACCCAGCAATTCTGCTGCTGGGACTATACTCTAAGAACTCTGAAACACCAATCCATAAGAACCTGTGCACCCCAATGTTCATAGCAGCACAATTTACAATAGCCAAGTGCTGGAAGCAACCTAAGTGCCCACTAACAAATGAGTAGATAAAGTAACTATGATATATTTACACAATGGAATACTACGCAGCAGAAAGAAAGGGGCTCCTACCCTTTATGACAGCATGGATGAATCTGTAGAGAGCATTATGCTAAGTGAAATAAGCCAGGCAGTGAAAGAGAAATACCATATGATCTCACTTATAAGTGGAACCCAATCAACAAAACAAACAAGTGAGCAAAGTAGAACCAGAGACATGGACATAAA